TTATATTTTGCATATTCGCCGTAATAATGTAATAACACATTAAGTGTAAAGTTATATTTTAATATGTGTGCCATTTTATGTTTCTGAGTATTTTCGGCCGTTATTTGATTCTATTTTGTGAGAATAATCACAACTTGAGATTGTTCAACAAATACGATGAACTTCGTTTCGAGATCTTCTGTATATATATAAAACAACTATTCGGAAATATTGCGAAAATGTTTCTCCCTTCCTTTCTTCGTCCGAGGCGATCCGCAGGAAGCGAGGAATCGTACGTGAGTCATAAAAAGCGAACACGGTTGCAAGCAGGACCCCGGCCGGGCCGTTTATTGGCCTGTACACGCCGTGTTATCGCCAATAAATGATTTTACGAGCGTTTATTGTAATACTTTGCACTCCCGTTGTGTCTGTCGACGGCTGGTTCGGCCAAAAAATAAACAATCCGCTATTAGCGACTCGTGTAAAAATACGCGACCGTATGACGAATTGAATTCAAGCAATGCTTTATCGATGTCCTTACTGGTGATATTATTCTCGTCCATCCTTGAATCGAATCGTGTTTCCTTTTTCTCAAGAATCCCGCGACGGAATTTTTCATCTATTGACCGAAGAGCGACGAGAAGACAGTCTTATAATTAATTTGCAAAAATGATTCGAAGATGTTTCTCAATGCGATTGAGCGACCGGACATCGAAGACGCTCATTATTAAAAGGAAAACAGGAAATCATCTTACAATGTTAACCACTCGCGGAGATCTAAAAATGACCATCGCTCCCGATCTGTCTTTTCACGAGAGTCGAGCGGTTGCAAAGTGCATTAATTAAGCGAGATGACGAGCGGAAAAATGAATAAACGAAACGGCTTGCCGAAGAGAATTATTCTCAATAAATTTATTACAACGGTTTCTAAATACTTTCGTTGCGGAGAGACGGATTCGAGGGAAAAAAAGTTGAAATGTTAAAGTTTTTTTACGACAAATAAAGAGGCAACTACATATTAAGTGCGCGAATGCACTGCAATTATACAACGTTTCACTGATGAGCCAAGATCGATTAGACATCTCGAACACAGCTAATATTACGTTGCTCGCACGGAAAACAAATATAACGCTGAAAAGAGAGGACTTATTCATGTGAGAGTGATCTGAACGGAACTTATAGGAACTCATTCCTTACAAGTATAAAGTTACCTCCTAAATAACTTTGAAATCTTCGGCAGTCTCCAGAGATTTTCGTGAAGACGACAAAACCTGTGAGTGCAACTATTTGAATTTCAATCTTCAAAAGTATGATAGTAGCGACAGTTCTATTCGAGCATCGGAGAGTTTCGTTTGTTTCGCATCTCAAAATTTGATTGGCGAGCTATTTAGCATAAGAAAAATAAGAGAGAAAGAGAGAGAGAGAGAGAGAGAGAGAGAGAGAGAGAGAGAGAGAGAGAAGAGAGAGAGAGAGAGAGAGAGTAGTAG